CGTTTTGAATGCGAACAGCCTCGAAAGAAGAGTGGGGAACTGGGCAAGCAAAATATAACTGAGTTTGAGATCATGGGCTTTGCAATAAAGCATGAATGCGTAGGTGACTGATGGCCCTGAACTGGAGTATTAGGTGCTGCCGTCCAAGCGAGTCGGCGTCAGCCGAGTGCATCCCAACGGCCCAGCCCGTTACAGGCAAATTGTTAAATTCCCCTAACAAAAATCTGGAACGGGCACGATTCAACACCCCTGAAAGGCTGAATCATAAGCCGTATAACGACTTAAGGTACCAGACGCAGATGACCTGTCCGATTTTGTCAAAAATACCCGAAAGGGAATATTACCCGTTAACTCCAAGCTCCCATTGGCCAACCGCCGGCCCCGTCGAGGATGTCGGATTCCGTTTCTGAGACGGGTACCTGGCTGCTCCAACTTTAATTAGACTTCGCTCCATCCTACATGGTGAAACGCCAAATGTCGTAGCCGCAAATCACTGCACGCATAGGCTTGGCAGTCTTCTATCATGAGTAGTCGCCGCCTGCATCACTAGTCAGTGTAGTAAATAATGTAAAAAATACGTTTATTGGCAATATGGGCCCCCTCGCAATATTGTATTGTCGAGTTGTGCATATTGCATTACGCAATAAGGCATTGGTGCATATTGTATTGTATTGCCAAGAACCCAATATAGTGGCAATATGACAATATTGTCGGATAATGCCTCTGTAGACTGAAGTCGCAGAGCTTGGTGTAATGACTGGTTGTCATAGCGTCGGCTATCATGACTAAACTTAGCCGAAAGTTAAATTCGGACGAAAGGAAGTTTTTTTTTGGTATTAGAAAGAGAGCTACAGACGAAGTCTGCAGCACTCGCAACAGCAAGAATAATGATTTTATGAACAATCTTAGTTAACATGAGTCTCATAACGTGACAGGGCTCTGACCGAAAGAGATGGCCAGACGCGACAGTGGGTCTACCAGTTTGGTTATGATATTCAGAATGTCGCAACGAAAGAACGCCGCTGGGTCTGTTGTCTGTGTATCAAACGGAAGGATCCCAGACCGAAGAATTACAACTATAAGGGCCTACAGAATGCTGAGAGCCACCTGTTCAAAGATCACAACGGCGTAGTCGATCCTTCCGGCAAAAGACAGGGTCCTAAATCTACAGCTGAAACGCCCGCCCGGTCAATTGCCACGATGCTGCAACTGAATCCAGAGGTCACACGCGACCAAGAAATAACGAACCTCCTGATCAAGCGGTTTAATAAAACCGCATTTCAACAGATGATGGTCAACTGGATCGTTAACACGAATCGATCGTTCACCACGGCGAAAGATCCTGACCTGCGAGCGATCTTCGAATATCTAAACCCTTCAGTCTCCATCACAGAAGCTCACATATCCGATGTAACGGTACGCACGATCGCTGTAAGAGAGTTCAATGCGAATAAGTTAGCTGTACGAGAGACACTTCGGAAGAGCCCAGGCCAGATCCATATCCAATTTGATGGATGGCGGTCCGGCAACAGGCATGCTCTTTACGGCGTTACATGCATATTCAGGAGTCCGGATAACAGGCCCCGGAAGTGCGTTCTTGGCCTTCCGGGGCTGCTTGGTCGGCATACAGGTGAGAACATCGCTGGTGAGATTCTCGATATCGTCCGGGAATTCGAGATTGAGGACAAGCTGGGCTACTTTACGCTGGACAACGCGTCGAATAACAAAACAACCATGGAAATACTCGGCCGTGAGCTGGGATTTAACTGGAAGAAGCGCTGGGTTCGCTGCATTGGCCATGTTGTCAACATAGTGGTGAAACATATGCTCTTTGGCCAAGATCCAGACGCGTTTGAGAAAAAGATCTACGATGGCCAGCTTACGGCGGCGAGGGAGCATGAGCAGTGGCGCAAAAGGGGCCCAGTAGGTAAATGGCATAACTTCGCCGTTGTAAGCCACCTTCATCATGCTTACCCTTGTACATTTACGTTTCAGTGGCTTATTCAAACTGTATTGTAGGAGGTCAATAGATCCGATATCTGGACCGATGTCTTGAAAAAAGTCCAGCAAGTTGAATCCCAACTTTCTGACGACCCAGCGATCCAGGCTCACGAGCCTGTCGGCGTTGTGGTTGATAATGCTACTCGTTGGCTTTCCCAGCTCGCCATGATCGACCGGGCACTCGTTCTGCAGCCGTTTTATGACCCTTTCATCCAACGAGCCTTAAGTGAGTGGAACAAAGCCAATCTCACAAAAAGCGGGTCGGCGAGGAAGGGAGCCAGGATGCCATTCTTTTTGAGGGAAGAAAATCGGATTACAAGCAATGACTGGCGTGTGCTCCAGGCGCTCCGCGACATCCTGCTAGACTTTCAACTGGTAGTCAAAGCCTTGGAGGGTGATGGACAAGGCAAGCACCGGAAAGCAGTTCAGCAAGACGAGATTGAGCCTCCATTATCTGGTAAGTCCTGGCTGGATCAAGTCGGTCTGTCGTATAGTTTTCATGTGGCTAACTGGCGGCTCGAAGGCACGAGCTGGGATCTTCTTCACGCATATGAATATCTTCTCGAGTCTCTCGAATCTGCCAAGAAGATCGCGGTTTCTCTCCCGGACTTTGAGTACCTCGCTGTAAATATTAACCTAGGCTGGATGAAACTCGACGAATATTACCAGCACCTGAACGATAGTCCCGTGGTCTACGGCGCGGCGGCTCTGCACCCGGCTTACCGCTGGGCATTATTCGATGATCTGTGGGGCGATGATACCAAGCGACGAGCATGGATTACCAAAGCCAAGGCAGTTGTCCAGGAATTGTGGGCAGCCGAATACAACGCGGCTTCGATTGATCGACGCCATTT